CTGCAGACGCAGGATTAAGGCCCTTGGATCCATGTTTCTAAATAGGGATCACATCGCCTCATTAGCACCTAGGAGAATATTGGAATTCATCAATTTGCTGGGGCTAAGTGAGACGCTGTGAGTTAGTAGAGGGCACAATAGACCCTAGGTCGCGGTGCAATCCTCATTCTTTRTCTTATCTTATCTTATCTAGAAAATATAAAAATCGACATAGAAAGGCAGTAGAAGCAAATGTTACAGAATTTTTACATTGTTACATTTAAATCAATTCAATTCCAAAATAATCACTCTTGTAGGGTTGGTAAGTCAGATAATGTTAGGAAAATTTTTAAATATAAGAACCTGGTACACTACTATTTTCATGAACACAACTGTATATCTTATACACTGACCTACGTATATATTCGGCATAAGATTTGATAGAAAAACCAAAATTTGTATACATAGTCATTGTACAAAATAAGCCGGAGGTTTGAATATCTTAGTTATATGGGAGCTAGCTCAAGTTTTCGCCCAATTGTATCCATTTTAGGCACATTGATATACTGTTATGAATAAAATTCGTTTTGATATTTTCATTGAGATAACTCAAATACCATTAATTTTGGATACACAGTATAACTACTGCAAGAAAAGGATTCTGTCTGAATTTCCATTGCATATCTCACACAACGACCGATATTTTCGATCAAAAGTCAACTGTAGGTACTGGGGCCCACATATTCGGCACCTAGGGTGTTGAACAGTTTAAATTCGATTTGAACAATTTTTTGTCATAAAGTGGCACACATTAAATATATTATTTAGGCAAAGTTTAATCCCATTATATTAATTGCTTCTTGATTTGTGTACTGGAAACTGAACGAATCAAGTGAAATTTAAACTTGTGCTATTGTGGTTATTATCCGCCACGGTACTACGCCTATCGTCCAATTTTTATCCCGGCCCCTATGAAGCCTTGTCATACTATCTCGATTAGTTTTAGGTGATACGTACAACCGTTAGGTGAACAAAACTATAATACTCTATAGCAACTGGTTTGCCATACGCCGAATCTCCAAATTGAGATACTTATTCGGGGATTCCCGGGATCGGCATGGCGTAAGGTGTCGCGCCCGTTAGCTAAAACGGCTGCTTCGGCTGGGAAATTGCCGGAATGAAACGAGCGGTAGCTGTTGCGGTCACTTTGCGGAATTGACATACGTCCATAGGAATAGGTAGAGCGTTGAAGGTGATCTCTTTAAATTCTGTGAAGCCGACCCAATTAGCTTGTTTAAAGTTAATGTAGGTGCAGTTGTCCACAGAAATGAAATCGGGAGGCTTATCGATCGAGATAATTATGGGCAGATGGTCTGATGCGAGAGTTAGCATACGTCGCCAGGTTCATCAGGCCACCGCTAGTAATGGTAATATCCGGCGAGCTATTACAGGTGCCCATGATTCTGGTGGGAGCTTCGTCATTAATTGTGCAGAATGCCGAATCGTGAATCTTTTCCGCCAGCTCCATCCCCCTACGATCATTTGACAGGAAGGAATGCCAAAGATCATGGTACGCGTTAAAGTCGCCTAGTACCATACGGTTCTCACCACGAAGTAGCGCACCTATATTCGGGTAACATTCTGTAAGGCAACATGTAACTGGGGGGATGTACATATATATTAATAATTATAATGTATCCCTGGGGTCGATGTCCTCATCGATAAGTCAGAGTGGGAGCTATGTTGCCACTTGAGCTGAGTGGCGGCGCGTCGAACGAACTGTGTGCAGACTGCACAGCCGTAGAGGCTTGTGTCGCAGTATTGCGCAGGCAACAAGGGGCCACGTAACGCGTGGTCCACTCCCTATGAGTCTTAAGGCCTGAACAAGTCTTAAGATGGCTCCATTCATTGCATGTATTTGACCTGACCGAGGTGGAGTTTGGATGGAGCCTTTTTGCGCATACGCAGCAGAAAAATTTCTCCGGGCCCGGGTTGAGCTCAATGCCAGGGCGAGTCAGGAGGATACGGAGCAACCGCGCTGCAAGGCGTTGCTCTAATGACGGCAAATACAAATGAATAATCACGGATCCAAACGGGGTTAGATCGCCGAAAAAACAGCCCTTGGTCGGATGAAGTCCGAGTCAATTCCGGTACGTAGGCTGTCGTAGGAATTGTAAATTTCCTGATCTCCATCGCTGTCAAATAATCAGGGAACGCGTTTGAGAGAAAAAGAGAGCCCAAAATAAGGTTTCGCATTATCTTATCCAGGAATAAAGCGTTGTTCAACTTATTCCAGTGGGAGAACGCTTCAAAATAAGCATCTTTTATAACATTTTCCATTATGGACATATTGAACAAAATAAGAATTTTGGGCATTTTAAATTAAAAACCCGACATTTAGTATGAATAAAAATTACTATATAGTGGTTATTTATTATATGGAGAAACTATTTGAATCCTTTTAAAGTATATTGGAACAACTGACTCAAGTCAAACCTTTCAACACCCAATAAAAGAATTTACACTTGTTTGCTGTCAATCATTAAGTGGTTTTAATCATTTTCTGTTGAAAATAATACTATGATGCTTAAAATTACAAAACGTTTCATCAAATACCTTTAAATTTCACAAATTTTTTTAACTTTCATTGCTTTACATTTTTTATAAGTGGTCTTGAATGATACAACAAATCCTTCCGTTCACATATTTTTTGGTAAGATTTCAGCCTGTCCATCGCTAGTTTCCAATTGATAAACGTCAAAACCTACTGAACTCGATTAGCTGTCAAAGCTCAGTAGGTTTTCACGTTTAGCAATTGCTGTCTCACTTCCAGTGTTAAACATCTCTTTATCTCCGATTTTATCCATGTCTTTATACTATGTTCAGACCAAAAATTTAAAAGATTAGATCACATTTAAGCATGTCATAACCCAACAGTGTTCTTACTGCCATTGGAAAGATTAAAAAACAGCTGTTTTTGCCATTCAAAATTTAACATCGGTTAATATTTATGAAAGTAAAACATTGTCATATAGTATTTTGCAATAAAAGCCGTATTCTTTGAAATATTTTCCACATTGTGGAAATAATGGATTTATTTTTTCATTTCCGAAGACGATTTTCAGGTGAAATTATATTCATTGATGTAAAAAATTTGTTTGTTTACATTTTTTCTCCTTTTTAGTGTCTAAATCAGCTATGATCTATTACATTATCATTTCCAATGTAGAAAAACAAATGGCGCAAAATCAGAGTCGCACAGAGAGATTTAGCGTGGATCAGTTTCGAATCACTCCGATCAAGTGATTTGGAACTGTCATTTTTGTATGGCGAAATCTTGATAAATTTAATATAAACCACTCAGCAGCCGAAATGGTGTGATTAAGTGTCGGTCTATGCATGGTATTATATCTGATATGAACTGTCATTGAAAACGAGCAAAGCTTAATATGAATGATTTTTAACGGGGTATCTCGACAGGATAGAATCTATGTCTTACTAACTGTATATTGCCTGTGGAGACTCTACATCGCTTATTGCTTACAATATATGGAGTACTAATTGGTTTGCCATATATTGTAAGCAATAAGCTGTCACTTCAACAGTTTGATGGCACAGTTTTCATATCTATGAAAATTTCGAAGAGGCGACATATCCCATTTGCACATATGCCGACGGCATTTTCATTTCGGTAATATGAAATTTAGAAGAGCGAGTATTAAGATGGTTTCGTTATGTCATAAAAATAAAGTACATTTTCAAAATAATATTATTCCAAAAAATTTATATCTAGTTTAATAATTAATTTACAAAAAAACTATGCAAATTGGGTTGGGAATGACCGAAGTCTTTAATTTAAAAAACTTATACAAGCATAAAGCAAAATATCTTTGCTCATTTTAAATTTATTATTTTAATTGGTATATTTATAGTATCCCCCAATTATTATATAGTAGTCCAAAAATATGAATTCTTATTTTTCCCAGAATTAAATTTGTAAAAAAAAAAGGATAGTAATCCTTTTTTTATTTTCCTCATAAAAGCTACATCAGCTACCTACCCGACGGCATTTCGCAATTTCAAGAGACCAAAGCATGCGCTACATCAGCTCGAACCTACCTACCCTACGCCTTTGCGCAAATGATTATGTCAAGATAACAAATTCCCACATACAGATTTGGTAATGGCAATAGCAATAGATTTGACAGTTAGTAAGACATAGATTTTATCCTGTCGAGATGCCCCGACTGTTTGAATTTCCCCAGACATGGGGTTGTGAGCCTCAAATTATATATCTATCGATAAATGAGTTTAAAATTTCGTTTACGATAAGAATCCCACATATATAGTAAATTTTGTTTTTAAGGACGACAAAGTGTAGCAAATTATGCAGTTGCCCTTTCATAAAGGGGTTTGAAGGAATGAATGAGAATTACAGCAAAGATTGTTTGGGGCTTTGTTTAAGGATATCCGCACTTCACCAAACGTGGAAGTGGTTGCATCAAACTATCGCGTTACATGAATATTTAATATCTGTAACTGCAGCAAGCTCGGCAGGAAATGACTATAAAAAGAATTTGATGTATTTCAAGATCGCCAAAGAACATAAGAAGAATTAAAATAAACATTCAACATATTCTTAGTGATTTAAAGGAACATTTTTTAAGTGTAAATAATGATGATATAAGGAATGTTTCGAGAGCAACGTTAACAAATTGAAAGAATTGTTAAGTAATAGTCGTGCAAAATATAGTAATATCTGTTTTTAAAAAATTGTGCTGTAAAGATGAATACCATAATAACCAAAGGTTACAAAAGATGCATTCATAAATGTCTTTACTCTGTTTTTGAAGAAGCTCGTATTAATTTACCGCGACAATTTTTTCATTCGAATTACAAAAATCAAAATAATAGGACCACAAATAATTATGGATTACCCCCGTCTTCATTTGTTAGTAATTCATATAAAAAGAATTTAAAAAGTTCAAATGTTACGAAAATATCTGATGTCAATATTAGGAAATCAGTGTTCATTTCACAATCATATGACGTATTTACTAACTTAGCTCTTGAGGACTGGTTGTACAGAAATTTCGATTTCAGCCATCATCACGTATTATTATTATGGGTAAATGATCCATGCGTTGTGATAGGTCGCCATCAGAATCCCTTTATGGAAACAAATGTGTCGAAATTAAATTCAAATGGCGTGACTATAGCTCGTCGTAACAGTGGTGGTGGGGCCGTATACCATGATCGTGGTAACCTCAATTGCACATTTTTTACGCCACGAGAAAGATATGATAGGAAATATAATTTGAACATTTTAACACGAGCACTATTTCGAGAATGGGCCATTAAATCGGAAATAAATAAACGAGATGATGTATGCATCAACGAAAAAAAGGTAAGTAAAATATGACTTATGGTTTTTAAGATATTAGCATTTAAAGCTCAAAAATTCAACTATTTAAAATGCGTATTTTTCCTATTTATAATTAAATTTACACTTATATTTTTAATCCACTAACACTTTACTAACCATTTATTTTATATTAAATATTGACAAAATAACTTTAATTCGCACAATTCCGATTTCTTTGGCGCCGAGATCTGAAGCTACCATTGGAAAGACTAGGTGCTCCTGATTTATAAATATAAATTGGGGTATAGATACCGCAAACGCTTAGTTTACGAGTAATTCAACTTTAAAGTTCAATGTACAGTTGATCTCCTTTTTGCACGGTTAACTGGGACAGTAAATTCCCCGTGCAAAAAAGAAGAGATTTTAAAATAAAACTCTCAAGGACCAGTTTACGAAATAAATCGCGCAAAAAAGGCAAACGGGTAAAAAAGATCTGATTTTATATGTGAATCTAGAGCAGTGATGCCCAAACGCACACTACCAAACTGTGTGCTTGTGTTGGAGTATGAAAGAGCTTGCTGGTACACCCAAAAAAAAATACAAAACTTTAGTATTAACTAATATAAAACAAGTAAGGAAAGGCTAAGTTCGATTGTCACCGAACATTTTATACTCTCGCATGATAAAGTGATAATCGACATTTCAGGCGTGGTTGTGAACCGATTTCAGCCATATTTGGTACATGTCATCACGGTGTTAAGAAAATATTATATACCGAATTTCATTGAAATCGGTTGAGTACTTGATGAGATATGGTTTTTGGTCCATAAATGGGCGACGCCACGCCCATT